CCTGGTTTATAAATAAAATTCGATTCTCACGATTATCGATTTTTCTCGATACTTCCTGAGAAGTGAGGTGATCTTCCGTCGCGATGCGGAAGCAGCAGAAACTTGGGGGAAAGGGAAGATAGTTAATCGGCGAGGGAGGATCACGATATCACGTGTTGTGCTGGATCTTGGAAACGAACCCGATGTGACCTCGAGGGTATTCGAGGCTAAGATGGTCTTCCTTGAAGACCCGAGGATGATCTTTGCGGATATGCGACTCCATGCGACCAGCACGCCGACCTCCACCCCCACGCGTTACCACCACCGGAAGTATAGGCCACAGAACAACAACGATTGTACGATTCGAATCGCATTGAATCCGTTCGAGGAAATTTTAAAATTCGACCGAGGCATTTTCTCCGCCTTCCTCTCGTCGAATTTTCTCGTTTAATTACCGATTAACGCGCTATTGGACTATAATAATCGAATCTTATTTTCTTCTTTCAGATGCGGATCTTCATGGCGAGGTGGACGGACCCGAACTCAGTGGCGACGACAGGAGTATCACGAGTGATATCCAAGATGCCACCGAGGCGAACCTCGACCATGATTCCATGGACTCGGATAGGGAAGCTCTTAATCTGGTTGGTGTATCATATTTTTCTTCTTTTTCCCTTGTACCGAGATGTGATTAGAATTTTTCCCGGCGACGCTTCCGCTCTGTGAAAAACTTTCCTTTGTTTCAAAGTGACGACAAGGGGTGGGGGGAGGGGGGGTTGGGTTATTTTATAGTCATTCGTGAAGAGCGGAAAAAGTTCTCCCGTTCAATATTTGGCAAATAAATAAAGGAAGCCACTAGCTGGATGGAAGGGCGAATGGGAGGGATGTAGGTTTTATAAAACACAAAAGCGCAGGATGGACCGTAGTGACCAATATCCTGACCTGGTCGAGTGTAAACAGGGCTTTGTTCGATGTCGTTTACTCTGTAACATTAGGGAGGGTGAATCTTCCGCGGCTCTCACGAAATTCCGTGGAGATCTATCTTTTTCTTTTTCTTTTTTTAATATTATCGCAATTTTCCCCTAAAAGGAATAATTTAATATCTCAAGCAATTCTTCTATCTTGAAAAGACGAAATCAATTTAAAATATCATTACCATTTTCTTTGAATGATATAATATGTGCAACAAAATACGTAACACTCCATCGTGAATAACATTATTCTTGTTTTCACATACGATTTACAACGTTTCCATTACCTTTCTGCAAATTATTAACTCTTCTCATTCTTGAATATGCACGATATTGTGATAATTAATTGTCACATCCATTAAATATGCATAATAATTAAATATGCTTCAGGTCACAGACGTGTCGCATCGTAACAGCAGCAGTGGTACCAGCGGTAGCGCCTCTTCGCCTAGTTCCGGGGTGAGCAGTCAGATAACCGGAAGTCATCAGCAGCAACAACACACGGCAGGCCAGCAGAACAGCAGCAACTCCCAAGCTGCACTGGCTGCTCAACTAGTCAGCCAACAATTGCTGATGCACGGATCTCTGGGTGCCCTTGGACCTCAGGAGATCCAGGCGTTGGCCTCCACGTTTCAGCAGCAACAGCAGTCTCTGCAGCAACAGTTGCAGCAGTTGGCCATGTTTCAGCAAGCAAATTCGGCTGCTGCAGGTCAACTTCCGGCTCAGGCGCAATTCTTTTTGCAGAATCAGGTTTGTGAAAACTTTTTCTTTTACTTTAAGAGAGAATAAAAGATCAATCTTGTTTATTAAATCAATATTACTTGGTTTCTATAAAATTAAATATTAATCACACGAGGTAAGAATATAAGAGATTCTTTTTATTTCTTTGATTCAGTAAAGTAGTCAAAATAGTATAAAAATAAATAATGAAAATCGAACAAATAATTTTAAGAAATTACGTATGATATACACGTATTATAAACTGTTTAAAAAACTTGTTTAAAAAACTTCCTTTAAATTAGTCAAACGAATAAACAGAATTTCGAATACTAAAGTAAGATTACATATGAGACACGATTGTTGTGCTAAGTTGTCACTAAAAATTTCACTATTTACATTATTATCATACTATTAAATCAAAATTTATATCTCATCATTCTCCTTCTATTAAAATTTACAAACTTCAATCTCTAAATAAAATCGTTCGGCCATCTCTTTCCTCTTTCAAAAGAAAACACAGAATAATCTCGCATCAAAGATGGTTCCTCTCGCGTCCACCAATTCTCCTTTCCCGCGTTCACACACAAAGATTCCAAGAGTCGAAAGAGTCGCGGCCCTTCTATCTTCTGGCAAAGGAATCACTCCGGGAGCGCGAACAAATGCATCCTCGTGCACTCGAATTCCGGCGCCATTGTTCTCCCTTGATACTCGGCCGAATTACCCACTCGACGCGAATTCGATTCGAATCGGCATGGCGGGGATGGCCAGAGGTGGATGAGCCAGAGACGACGTTCCATTCGGCGCGGTATCTGATCGACCGGCCGAGAAGAAGTAGACGTCTTATTCTTCGGGGACGGTCCGCTCGATTTGACGAGGAGATAGCCGGCTGGAGATGTCACAAAGGGACAGGGACTTGTACTCGTTTGGCCTCGCCTTTTCTCCCCGCGACGCGCCCCTCCTCTGAAAAGCTCCTCCCCGTGGAAAAACGTCGAATAATTAGAATCGAAAGAGTTGGAGAGAAAATATATTTGCAGGTAATAGATAGATTCTTCTGTAGGGGTGAAACGAACGAGGGATGAATGGATGCAGTTAAATGCAGTTAAAAAAGGTTTTCTTCTGTTCTATAATATTTGTGATAATTCCTTGTGTTTGAGAAATTTTAAGATTATTTCTATTCTTCTGTACAGACATTACAGAAAAGTAATAGAAAAGATTATAATACAAAAATTATAATTTGATCTTAAAAATAGTCTTTTTTAAAGACACTCTTTATCCATTTTTCTTTCGTTCAAAAGAAACTTTGACCGTTTCATCTTGCCATTCGATCAAAGAAGGAAAAAAAGGAAAAAAAAAAAAAAGGGAAAGAAATGAAAAGCAAATGCATTCATCACCTGCATCCTCGCAAAGAGGAACGTTTTCCCCGAATATATCGTTCGTTTTGTCCCGCGAAGATCCACCGAATCGAAGTAAGAAAAATCGATATATCCGGGGAATACACGATGAAAAACGATCCTCCTTCCTGGATCCTCGACCGATCCTCACCTCCCCTCCCCCACCTTCCCATCCCAGGCCCGATTGAATGGGGCCTTCGGGCTCTTCGTGTTTACGAAAAAGTTTCTATAGATTCCATCACCATGAAGCGCGTGCACGCTTCTACGTAACCTCGTGGAAAAACTAACAAAACGACTTCGAACGAACTTGAGCAGATTTAATGGCCGTGGTATACGTAGCTGCGAGGATTAAGGCCGGGTCTTCCGTGTCTCTTTTGAAAGGTGCAACAAGGAGATCCATCGGCCCCTTCGGCACCTTGCCACGGGGTGCCTTTTGTTACCTCACACGTGGCCAGCCTGTTTCTTCTCTCCTTCCCCCTATTCTACCCCTTCGTCTTCTCTTCCTTCATCTTCTTCATTCTCTCTCCGTTTACATCGAATCGAGGGATCCCTCTTGTTTCTTTTCCCTTTCATTCGAGAACAGTGGCGGTATCAGAGATGCGGACACACGACGTCCTCGATCGTGCAACCCCTTCCTCGAGCGGGTTGCTCCTGCAACCTGCGCGCGGGATCCTTTTTTCTCAAGGATTAAGGATGATGGATACATCGTGGTTCGATTCGATTCCTTTCGGCCGTAAGAGACGCGTAACAATCTCGAGTTCGAAACAATTCTCTGAATATTATATCCAAAGATCGAAAGGAGAACTTGCCGAATCGTTTCGTTCGCTTTCCCGAAAGATCTTATCATCACCGTCGTCCATAATCATTATTTCGAATTATTTATGCACCGCAATTATTATTGTGCATCGCTTTCACCAGATTCGTTTCAACGATACGATCGAGGGAAACAATATTTTCTAGAGATGCAGGAAGTAATACGAATCAGTCATGCTTTCTAATTTTTATATTCCGAGAGATGTAAATTAAAAAAAAAAAAAAAAAGAAAAGAAGAAGAATATTTCGTATATTCGT